TGGAAGAGGAGGAGAGGAGGTGGAGGAGGGGGTACCATATTCGGCCTGGCCAGGCATCACTTCAGCATACAGCATAACCGAACAATGTCATAATAGCAGGAACCATCTGTAATGTCTGGATTTACCTGCGAATTCTTCATAAACAGTATAGAACAACCAAGATGATACRGGGGGGCTGAGGACACCTGGGAGTAGTCTCAAGAAGATCAGTTGGCAGCTTCTAGGTGGAGGCAGGGCTCAGTTGTTAACTAGGAAGGAGCCCCAGCAGCTCCAAGGGATACTGGGTGCGCCAGAGTAGAAGAGAATAATGACTATAGCCTCAACATTGACCTACGCTAGACCCGGTTTCCAGCAGGTGTAGCTCCCCACCAAGAGACGGAGAAGCCCAACAGCCAAGGCCTCAATTCCGGTGGTTCTCTTACCACTGCCGGCATACCGTGGGGATTCGCATAGGGTGGTTGGGAACTGAATCCACATAGCACTGTGCTTGGGCCATTGCGCTAAAGTTGGGGGGGCTAAGAGCAGCACTGGCGCTGCCCTCTTCTCCTGAATAGAATGCATGCTCATTAAACCCGCACTCGGGGCAACATTCAGTCTATGTATGGGGATCATGACCGCAAGTTCTAATAGCCAATCTGTGGACTATCATATAAATGATGTGCAGACAAAAAAAAAGAAAAAAGAAATAAAGAATGGTGGAGCCGAACGAGGTCAAGTAAAAAGGAGAAGGACACAACTTGAAGGGCATATTATAAACACATTGGGACTTTTTCCTCCACCCTGCAAGTGGGCTCCTCAGGGGGATGAGTCCCATCGAGTCCTAGAAGATTCAAGATATCCCTATCCAAGAGGCCTTCCCGTATGCCTTACCCCCAATTCAACTACCCTACCCCTACCCTTTTCCAAGTCATCAGATAGCGGGATGGGATTGAGGTCACGTGCATCCAGGATGGGCTGTAAACGGGCTCAGATACATCCAAGACTGTCCTCACGTAGAATCAGCACTTGCCGGTGCATGTGGGCCATTGGTGG